GTGCAGGCGGGGATGGGGCCCAGGGCTCCCCCTTGCCCCCCCTCCCCAGCCCACCATGTTCCTTATAAAGCTGTTTATTGCTATTTAAATTACTCTCTTAAAACACGGTGGGATTTAGGCAACACTGGATTGTCTGGTGGGAGCCCAGGGCCTGCAGGTCTTCTGGGGTGGGGGTGGGGACGACTGGGGTGGTGAGTTTGGGGGGGCTCTGCCCCATGGCGTAGTCAGGACGTGCCTGGGCGGGGGGGACTGAGTGCCCCTCCTGGGTGTGTGTGGGGGGTCCCTGGTGGGGCCAGGCCGTGGGCCGGTGTCTCTTTGGCAGGTGTGTGTGTGTGTGTGTCCCCTCCGCCGAAGGCACAGGGAGCGTGGGGTGCCCATTTGTGGCCGCTGCCCCCCCCCATCCCCACGCGGGGGGAGCTTGGCCATGGCCGGCAAGCTGGCAGCTGGCCTGCGGTCACACCGGCATCGGCATCTCATTGTACTCGTCCACACCTTCCCGCTCATCGAAGATGGGCTCGGCCTCGTCTGCATCCAGCTGCGGGGGGAGAGGGGGGGTGAATCCAGCCCCCCCAACATGAGGCCGAAGGACGCGGGCGGCCGCAACGCCGGTACTTACACACTTCATCTCCCGGTCGGTGAAGACACGGCTGAGCAGGCACATGCGGAGTGGCACCGTGAGGATGAGGATGAAGGGGAAGGCCAGCGAGGCCACCGTGGACATGACAGCCCAGAGCACGGCCAGGCACGCCAGCTGCAGCCCAGTGAAGAGGTGCATGCGCAGTGTGCGGACCTGTGCGGGGACAGCCCTCAGCGCCTGCCCCCACCGGTACCCCCTGCCCTACCACATGGCTCCCCGCAGCCCTGCTGGGGTCTGGTCCCTGCGTCCCCCCTGTCCCGAGCCCCCTAAAGGCTGGGACAGAGTTTGTCCCTCAGGAGCCCCAATGCCCCCAACCCAATGCTGGTTGCTGCCCTAAATGAGGGTGGCACCCCCAAAAATCAGACCTCCCAGAGTGTCCCCCCCCCACACCTTTTTGACATAGGTGACGTCAGGGTGGTGCTTGGGGGGCATCAGCAGCAGCTGCAGGCGCTCATAGAACTGGATGCCGTTGAGGGAGGTGACACCCATGTAGAGGAAGATCCCAAAGAGCACAGCCAGCGGGATCTGCCGCAGCAGGTCCCCGATGACGATGGACAAACCTGGGGACACAGCGGGGTCAGCTGCGGTGCCTGAGGAGGAGGGTCCCACAGTCCCAGGTGGGGCCAGGGCTCAAAACATCGACCCCCACCACCCCTCGGCCCAAATCCTCCCAGCCCAGTCACACCCCATCTGGGGGGAGGGTCTTGCATTGCTGGGACAGGATGGCCATGCATTTGGCCAGGGCTCAGGGCACCCCTGTGGCCACGATGAGTGGTGCTGGACCTACCAACAAGCACGGCCACCAGCAGCCCGGTGACTCGCTGCTCCTTCACCTCCTGGATCTTGGGCTTGTCCCCGGGTGCCACGGCCTTGCTCATGACAGTGAGGGCGTTGGCGTGTGTGACGGAGCGCACTGTGGCTGCGGCGAGCCACGGCAGCCCAAAGAGCGCAAAGAAGCCACCCATGGCCACAATGAGCAGGAGGTCAAGGTGGAAGCCGGAGCCCTTCTGCAGCATCCGCTCCTTCTTGCTGATGATCAGCCTGGGCACAAGGGCAGACCATTGGCACAGCGCCACAAAGCTTGGCATAGCTCATCACGGCTCAGCATGGCGTAGCACAGCTTGGCACAGCGTGGCGCTGCGCTGCGCAGCTTGGCACAGCTCAGCACGGAATCACAGAATCCTCTAGGTTGGAAAAGACCTTGAAGATCATCCAGTCCAACCATTAACCTCACACTGACCGTTCTCAACCCCACCAGATCCCTCAGCACTGGGTCAACCTGACTCTTCAACCCCTCCAGGGATGGGGACTCCACCCCTGCCCTGGGCAGCCCATTCCAACGCCCAACAACCCCTTCTGCAAAGAAATGCTTCCTAAGAGCCAGTCTAACTCTGCCCTGGTGCAGCATGAGGCCATTCCCTCTTGTTCTGTCGCTTGTTATTCTCAGGTTACTTTCAGGGAGCTGTAGAGGGCGATGAGGTCTCCCCTCAGCCTCCTCTTCTCCAGACTAAACCCCCCCAGTTCCCTCAGCCGCTCCCCATCAGACCTGTGCTCCAGACCCTGCACCAGCTCCATTGCCCTTCTCTGGACACGCTCGAGTCATTCAATGTCCTTTTTGTAATGAGTGGCATGGGCCGGCACAGCTTAGCATTGCACAGCACGGTACAGCACAGCTCGGTGTGGCTCAGCATGGCACCCCCAGCCCTACTCATGCCCCCAGTCCTGCCCTGCTGCACTCACGTGGTGATCTGCGTCTCCATGAAGATGAGGATGAAGACGAGGATGGCGGGGAGGCCACTGGCCACCATCATCCAGACAGGGAAGTCGTTATTCTCACCCAAGGGGTTGATCACCCAGCCCCGCTTGTCTGGGGCCGTCACCGAGAACCCGCTGGGCACGCTCAGCTTCTGTGGGGAGAGGAGGGGGCAAGAGACACTGGGATGGGGGCAACTGGCTCTGCTCCCCCAGAGTGAGGGGTGCCATGCGGTGTGGGGTGAGCCACAGAGGCACCAGCACCCACCACAGCTGGACTCAGAGGCAAAAGCAAGAGAGAATGAAAAGGTGAGGTGCCAGGAGCCGGAGGGACATGTTGGGAGCCGCTGACCTGCAGCCAGGATAGCGGCAGACGAGTGGGATCGGGGGGGGTGGGGTGGCTGGGGGGCGGTTGAGTGCTGACCTGCGTGTAGGTGTCCTGGATGCCGTAGTCCACCAGCACCATCACCAGGATCGCAATGGGCACCCCAAAATCCCCGATGAGCCGCCGGATCTGGGCAAAAAGCAACGTCAGCCCAACCCCAGCCCCAACACCTGGCCCCTGCCCTCCACCCCTCCCGGCTCAGCCCTGCCCCGCCAAAGCTGGGCTCACCCCAGGGCCCCACGCAGTGCCTGCGCCGCCGTCCCACCTGCCCCACGCACCCGTCCCGGGAAGAAGCGGCTGTTCTTGAACTTGCGCAGGAAGAAGGCGATGAAGAAGGTGCCTGCCATGAGCACCAGCGAGAGCAGTGCCGTGTTGGGCTGCCCCGTAACCTTGGCGGCGGTGCGGCCAGCCGTGCTGTTGGCCGGGGCTGTGCTGGTGTTCCTCCACGCCTCTGCCTCTGTGCCGTTGGCCCGCAGGCAGCCGTGCAGGGGGTGCTCCTGGAAGATCTGTGGCGGCACAACATGCTCAAGGCCGGTCCTGCCTGCTTCTGCCCTGTGGATGCCCCAGCCCCAGCCTTGGCGGCTCACCTTGGCCAGCTTGGAGAAGGTCTCGTAGATGAAGATGAGGGAGATGAGGAAGGCGAAGATCTCCTGGGTGAAGCGGGAGACAAAGCGTACCAGGAAGCTGCCCTCAAACGCCACCATGACCAGCACGATGAGGATGAGCCAGAAGCCGATCCAGACGCGCCCCACCAGGTACTCCAGCTCGTTGGATGTGCAGAACTGACGGCGCCGGGCGGACAGATGGATGGACAGACAGACAGGCAGAGAGAGACGGGCAGGTGTCAGGACAGCGGCCCGACAGCAGGCCGGGGTGGGGGATACCTGCATAACCCCCTCCTCCTGCACCCGCCCGGGCGCTCACTGTGAAGAAAGCCTCCTCGAAAACGAGCAGCGGCCCCGAGAAGCCGATGACGAGCAGGGGCTGGGCGCCCAGCAGACAGAAGAGCACGCCCTGCAGCGACGTGGAGATGATCAGCTCAGACACCCCGATCAGGTCCTGCGTCTTCTCCCCTGCAGGCAGGACAGGCTCAGGCACACCCGGTGGGATGGTGCCCATCGTCTCCCAGCGTCACGGCCTCCCCAGCACTCACCCAGCAGCCCCCCAAAGGTAATGGCCGGTGACAGCGCAGCAAAGTAGATGAAGATGACGGCCGCGATGCACTGGGGGTTCAGCGCGTCCCTGAAGTCACTCAGGTACTTGGGGTAGCGCCGCTGCACATCCCGGATCAGCCCCCCAAAGGGCCGGCCCGTGCGCCGAAGGGGATCGTCCTCCTCTTCCTCACCCTCACCCTCCACCACCTTCAGCTTTAGCAGCGCTGTGCCCCGTGGACAGACAGACGGACAGACAGTGAGACCCTGCCAACCGGGTGCCCCCACCCAGCCCAATCCCGCCCCGATGGCACCTTTCTCCTCGGGGGACTTGGGCTCCAGCAGCAGCCTTTTCTCCTGCTCTTCCCTCTTCTTCAGCATCTCGCGCTGGAAGTGGGCGACACTGCGCAGCAGCTCCTCGCCCTGCACCTCAGAGGGCGGCAGCACCACGCTGCAATCCAGGAACTCGTTTATGGCATTGAGGAGGTCATGGCGGTCATCAGCCAGGTACGCAGCCTCGTGGAATTGCTGGTGGGGCAACGGTGGGGTCAGAGCGCCCGTCCTGGGGGGGTACCACGGGGGTATGGCCCCAGCAGGGACGTGGGCGCTCACCTTGTCAGACATAAGGGTGGAGATGGAGCGCCCAATCTCATGATAGTCCATGTGAGTGCTGCTGGGTCCCAACAGCACGAAGAGGAACCGCACAGGGACAGGGACCTCCAGCACTGAATCCAGCTCCACCGCCTCCTGCAGTCGCACAAAGGCCATGGTGGGCTGGTCCAGGAACTCCACACAGCCTGGGGAACACAGGGAGTCACTGAGGGAGCCTGGTGTGCGCTCCCCAACCCCCCTCAGCCTTGCCCGTCCTCACCCCCCCATCACCCCTCCATACCCACAAGCACCACCGTGGCCTCAGCGTTGTCCGGGATCTTCTCCAGCAGCTTCAGCTCGTGCTTGGACTTGGAGCGGGTGATACCAGCTGGGGGCGTGGGGGTGAGGACCTCCCTCTGCAGGAAAGGCAGAGGGGTCAGGGCCCCTCCTGAGGATGAGGAGCGGCGGCAGGCCGGGAGGAAGACACAGGCAGAGGGCTGGGGAAGGCATGGCGCAGCCGCAGGAGCTGGGCTCACCTCCCGCTCCACATCGACCCGTGTGTCGTGCTCTGTGGCGTGGCCGGCGATCAGGGGCTCAGTGACGGCTGGCTCACCACCCTCAGCCACATGGTTGGTGCTGTGGTGGTGCACAAGCAGGGAGCCCAGGCTGCCGGCCGAGATGTTTCGGGGGAAAAAGTCCTTCTCATCACTCGGGTGACTGTGGAACAAAACCAGGGCTGTCAGGAGTGGCCCAATAGGAGAGTGGCTGGCGGCCATCATGACCATGCTGCACACCAGTGGCCCCAGGGACAGAGGGGAACAGAGCCTGGCAGAGTGGTGGGCTGGGGGTCACTGCCCCCCAAAACTTCACAGAATCTCAGAATCGTCTCCGTTAGAGAAGACCTTGAAGATCACCCAGTCCAACCATGAACCTCACACTGACCGTTCTCAACTCCACCAGATCCCTCAGCGCTGAGTCAACCCCTCCAGGGATGGGGACTCCACCCCTGCCCTGGGCAGCCCATTCCAACGCCCAACAACCCCTTCTGCAAAGAAATGCTTCCTAAGAGCCAGTCTAACCCTGCCCTGGTGCAGCTTGAGCCCATTCCCTCTCATCCTGTTGCTTGTTCTTGGTTCAAGAGACTCATCCCCAGGTCTCTGCACCCTCCTTTCAGGGAGCTGTAGAGGGTGATGTCTCCCCTCAGACTCCTCTTCTCCAGACTAAACCCCTCCAGTTCCCTCAGCCGCTCCCCATCAGACCTGTGCTCCAGACCCTGCACCAGCTTTGTTGCCCTTCTCTGGACATGCTTGAGTCATTTTTGTAGTGAGGGGCCCAAAACTGAACCCAGTCATCAAGGTGCGGCCTCACCAGTGCCGAGTAGAGAGGTAAGATCACTTACCTGTGCTTGAGCAGCAGCGCCCGCAGCACGTTGGCACGGTCTTCAGCGCGGATCTGGTCGGTGATGACCATCTGTTCCACCACCTGGTGAGCCACCCCTGGCAACGTCTTCTGGTCCAGGTCGAGGAGCACGGCCCCTGGGTGAGGGAGGGGGTTGCTGAGGCAAGCAGGGCTGGGGACGCCCCCCAAGTCTGGGCCCCTGTGGGGGCCAGCCCAGCCTCTCTACCGTGGGACAGGGTCTTGCGCAGCTCCAGGAGGCTGCGGAAGGACAGGGAAGCCACGTGCGGCTTGCCCCAGCGGTCCGTCTCCTCCTCCACGTCCTCCTCAAACTTGATCCAGCGCGCCGTCTCCTTCCACTGCAGCTCCTGGTTCTTGTCCACCACCAGCTCGTTCAGCTCCACGAAGACCTGTTGGCACAGCCAGGTCAGTGCTGACACTGCAGGGACCCCCCCCTTGCCCCGGGGCGACAGGGTCGCGCACAGGCAGCCCCCCTCCGCATGCAAAATGTGTTCACCCAGTGCCGTGTCGGGACCCCCAGCCCTGCCCATCCCCGCCCTGGGTGCAGGACCCCCCTACCTCGTGGGGCTGCCGGTCCTGCTTGCGGTGCCGTGTGCTGGGCTCCCTGTGGTCCTTGCTGACATGGACCACCTGTGCCTTGGCACTCTTCCGGACGAGGTGCCGGCGCACCCCTGGCACATCCTCGAAGCGGTGACCTGCCAGAGACAGACAGTGACAGCGGTGGGTGGGCGACCTGCAGAGGTCACGGCCTCAACCCCCCAACCTGGGGGTGGCCACTGAGCCCTGGCACGGTGGGGAGGTCCGGGGAACTGTGGGCTGGTAGCCTGCCAGGGGACAGACCCGAGCAGGCGCCAGGCTAGGACCATCACAGCCCCTGGGGTCTGTCAGCGTGGCAGGGGGACAGGGTCTGCACGCTGTTGAGTGCTGCAGCACCGGGGGGGTCACTTGGTTGCTTCTCTGGTGCCAGCAGAGACAAACAGGAGCCAAGGTGGCTCCTCAGAATCACAGAATGATCTCAGTTGGAAAAGACCTTGAAGATCATCCAGTCCAACCATGAACCTCACACTGACCGTTCTCAACTCCACCAGATCCCTCAGCGCTGGGTCAACCCGACTCTTCAACCCCTCCAGGGATGGGGACTCCACCCCTGCCCTGGGCAGCCCATTTCAACGCCCAACAACCCCTGCTGCAAAGAAATACTTCCTAGTAGCCAGTCTAAACCTGCCCTGGGGCAGCTTGAGGCCATTCCCTCTTGTGCTATTGCTTATTACTTGGTTCAAGAGACTCATCCCCAGCTCTCTGCATCCTCTTTTCAGGGAGTTATAGAGGGTGATGAGGTCTCCCCTCAGTCTCCTCCAGACTAAACAAACACTTGCCCTGGCGCATGGTTCAGCTCCTGCTGCATCTCTGGTCACTGCCAGAGTGGCCCCCAGGGTGCAGGGTGCACCCACAACTCACTCTTCATGTAGTCCAGGTCAGCTGAGGCCAGCGTCTGGGCCTCTGACTCGTCCGTCGGCATCTTCTGGTACCGGTCCTGCTCTGCACCTGTCATGCTGCCGATCCGCCGCCGCTCGTGCAGGTTGTAACTGCGGTGCCCCGGCTGTGACTTGGGAACGGGGCGACCGGGAGACCCAGTCACAGCGGCGGCCGCTCCCTCCACCAAACTTCCCTCCTCCATATCAGGGCTGCAAGGCAGGCACCCACCTCAGAGCTGAACCCCTGAGCTGTGGGGCAGCTGGAGAGGTGCTGCCCCCCAACCCTGTGAACCCCAGATAAGCCTCAGCACTGCCCGGCCCACGCTCACCTGCCTGCCCGGGTTTCCCCAGGGGACGTGGAGCGCCGGGGGTCCGGAGGGGATCCGGGCAGCGCCGCAGGAGCCACTGGCTCCTCTGCCTGGCGGTCGGTCACCTCATCCTCCTGCAAGAAGAACTGAGACGCGATGTTGGAGGAACCAGCTGCTGCGGGGCTGTGGCCCCCGGAGTCACCGGCTCCTCTCCAGCTCCATGAGCCCCCCGAGCTGGGGAGAAGGTCACAGTGCTGCCCCCCACACCCAACCCTGCCCTCACCTGCACTGCCTCGGGCGGGCTAGGCTGCAGGACCTCCTCCGCTGACCGCTCCGTCTCCGTGTCACACACCTCATCCTCATCCTCTTCGGCCTCCTCGATGGTGGGTGTCTCACCGGGAACGGAGGCACGGCGGTGCTTCTTTTTGCCCTTTTTCGGTGCCCCTTTCTTGCGGCGGGTGTCAGGGGGCAGGTGCGTGGAGAGGGGGTGGTGGATGTGGTGGGATGACTGGCGGTGGTCTGGAGGGGGGGCACAGGCTGGGGTTGGCGCCCTGCCTGCTGCCTGCCCGCTGCCTGCCTGCTGCCCCTGGGCCCCACTCACACTCGAAGTCCTCCTCGCCATAGCTGCGCCCGGCCTCCTCGGCGTTACGGGGGTGCGTGTCGCACAGGATCTCCTCGAAGCGCTCCACGCCCAGCGCCTTGTTCAGGTCCTTCTCCTCCTCCTCTCCGAACACAGGCGAGCCGGCGCCCAGCGCCTCCTGCTCGGGCTGTGGGATGGCAGTGGGCCTCAGCACCAAGCTGCCAGCACCCGATGCACCCCGCTCGCTATGGGTGCCCTGGATAGCAGCTCACTGGGCACCCCAAAAGCCCTGGACCCTGGATGCACCCCTGGGCTGGGCAGCCACAGCGCTGTTTGCATCCTGCACCCCACACCCCACGTGTGCCACAGTGCAGCCCCAACCCGGTTACCGTGCCCAGGTGCCCTGGCCTCCCCGTGTACCCCTGGTATCCCCAGTCCCCCCATTGCCGTGCCCTGGTGCCACACACCCACCATGTACCCGCAGCACCCCCACTGCTGTGTCCTCGCACCGTGCATCCCTTTGTATCCCTGGCACCCCCAATCCTGTGCCCTGGTGCCACACAGCCCCGTGTACCACCAGCACCGCCGTTCCCGTGCCCTGGTGTCGTGTACCTGCCGTGCCCCCCAGACCCTGCCCCCGATGTTGTGCCTCCATCCCAGCGCTGCTGGGGGC